TGTACCTCTGTGTCTCTCTGTACCTCTGTGTCTGTCTGTCTGTACCTTTGTGTGTCTCTCTCTCTGCGTCAGTGTCTCTCTGTACCTCTTGTGTCTCTCTCTCTCTGCCTCAGTGTCTCTCTGTACCTCTGTGTCTCTCTCTCTCTGCGTCAGTGTCTCTCTGTGCCTCTGTGTCTCTCTGTCTGCGTCAGTGTCTTGTCTTTGTGTCTCAGTGTTTCTCTGTCAGTGTGACTCTGCCTCAGTGTCTCTCTGTACCTCTGTGTGTCTCTCTCTCTGCCTCAGTGTCTCTCTGTACCTCTGTGTGTCTCTCTCTCTGCCTCAGTGTCTCTCTGTACCTCTGTGTGTCTCTCTCTCTGCCTCAGTGTCTTGTCTTTGTGTCTCAGTGTTTCTCTGTCAGTGTGACTCTGCCTCAGTGTCTCTCTCCCTCTCTCTCATTGTCTCTGTGTTTCTGCCTCTGATACAGGTACAGGCCACGGTAATTGGTTTCCTTGCTGCTGTTGCTGCAGTTGTTCTGGGATCATTCTCCAGGGGTAACATCGATCTCAATCAAACAGCCGTACTGTGTGCAAGTAGCACCATCACAGCTTTCATCGCAGCACTCGCCTTAGGTACCTACCAGCCCTCTGTGTCTCACCCCCGACGTGGGCACCTCCTCAGACCTGCCAGCCCTGGGGGTACCATTCACCTGCAGCCTCCTGCACCCCCCCCGCCCACTGATACTGGCCACCCCATACTGTTTGACCTTGAGGTGCTGCGATGCTGGGTTCAGTGCGGCTCCCAGGCCCTACCTCGCTGTGCAGTTACAGGTCAGAGCTCAACAGCAGGACACAGGCTCCTATTAAGCCAACCAATCAAACGTTTGTGCTCAGAATGTGGGCATTGCTGGCTGGGCCAGTATTTGTTACCTGTCCCCAGCTGCCCTGCAAAGGGACTTTTTTTCCCCGGAGCGTCAGAGGCTGAGGGGTGACCTTATAGAGGTTTATGAAATCATGAGGGGCATGGATAGGGTGAATAGCCAAGGTCTTTTCCCCTAAGGTGGGGGATTTCAAGACTAGTGGGCGCATTTTTAAGGTGAGCGGAGAAAATTTTAAAAAGGACACGGGAGGCAACTTTTTTTTACACAGAGAGTGGTTCGTGTGTGGAACGAACTTCCAGAGGGAGTGGTGGATGCGGGTACAGTTATGCTGTTTAAAAGACATTTGGATAAGTACATGAATAGGAAAGGTTTGGAGGGATATGGGCCAGGAGCAGGCAGGTAGGACTAGTTTAGTTTGGGATAGTGGTCAGCACGGACTAGATGGACCGAAGGGTCTGTTTCCATGCTGTATGACTGTGACTGTAAGGTGGTGGTGAGCTGCCCTGTGGTACTATTGCTGTCCTCGGATGTAGGGACGTTGACTTTGTTTTAAAACTTGATGGTGCTCTGATACAACTCTGTGTGGCTGGCAAACCTATTCAGGAATCAACCAACCACATTGCTGCGGGTCTGGAGTCACGTGTATGCCAGACCAGGTGAGCATGGCAGATTTCCTTCCCTGTGCAACATCACATGCAGTTTTTTATGATTATCGAGGATAGCTTCTGGGTCCCCGTTAAGTAAAACTTGTTTTCATTTCCAGATTTATGAATTGAATTTAAATTCCACCAGCTGCCGTGGTGGGATCTGAGCCTGGGTCTCTCTAAAACCTCACACTCTCTGACTCAGCTAATAAAGAAAAGGGGGTGGGGAGGTGGTGGGGCTCGCAGTGACTCAGCGGTTAGCACTGCTGCCTCATAGCACCAGGGACCAGGGTTCAATCCCACCCTCGGGCAACTGTCTGTGTGGAATTTGCACATTCTCCCCATGTCTGTGTGGGTTTCCTCCGGGTGCTCCAGTTTCCTCCCACAGTCCAAAGATGTGCAAGTTAGGGTGGATTGGCCATGCTAAATTGCCCCATAGTGTACAGGGATATGCAGGCTTAGGTGGATTAACCATGGTAAATGCAGGGATATAGGGTGGCAGGGTGGGATGCTCTTCAGAGGGTTGGTGTGGACTCGATGGGCCAATTGGCCTGCTTTCACACTGTAAGGATTCTTGAGCACCATATGTAACCATCCTACCACCTTCAGGGATCTGTAAAGATCCACTTTGAGGCCTCTCTGTTCCGCTACTTCCTTCAGTCCCCTACCCATCTGATTGTTTGCGAAGCCGCTCTGGGAATAACGCAGCACTTAGGGAGGCTGTTTGGCCCATTATTCCTGTTCCAAGGATGTGACATAACAAAGTGTAGAGCTGGATGAACACAGCAGGCCGAGCAGGAAGGCTGATGTGACATCTCACTTTCACATTTTCTCTGCAGCTGTAGTTCCACTGAAGTGCCTCAGTGTGGCAGCATAGAGCCACAGAAATCTCACTGATCTTGACCCTTGCCTCTGCTCAGCTCCCAACTCCCTTTTAATCCTTCTCAGTGAGAGTCCTTCCTGTGGTTAACCCAGTGGGATCTGGAGCCAGTTCCAGTTCCTGAGCTACAGCAGGCTATTGACTGTGGAAGGCTTCACTGCAAGAAACAGCCTTTTCCGGTACTGAGGGAGAATACCGAGTTGAAGGAAGTACATATTAGTAAGAAGATGGTACTGGAGAAATTACTGGGGCTGAAATTCGATAAATACTCAAAATCTGATGGTCTACACCCCAGAGTAGTGAAGGAAGTGGCTATAAAGCTAGTTGATACATTGGGTGATGTATCAACTTTGGTAATTGTCTTCCAAAATTCTATAGATTATGGAATGGGAGATGGCAAGTGTCACTGCCCTATTTAAGGAAAAAGTAACAGTGAAAATAGGGACCTACTGACCTGGTAGGCCATTCATCAATAGAAGAGAAAATCTGAGAATCTGTTATAAACACCTGGTTGATAATGATCTGATTTGGGCATTGTCGTTATGAATTTGTGAATGGGAAATTGTGATTGCATTTGGAGGTTTTTGAAGATGTTACTAACAAAATTGATAAAGGAGAGCAGTTGGATGTACTGTATTTAAATTTACAAAAGGCTTTTAATAAAGTTCCCACAGGAGGCTGCCTAATGCATACGAGGTGGGAGATAACATACCGGTGTAGGTTTATGATTGGCTAACAGAAAACAGTAGGAATAAATGGGTAATCTCATTGGCGAGCTGTGACTACTGGGGTACTGCATGGATCGGAATTTGGGCCCAGCTGTTGACAATATATATCAAAGATTTGAGGGGGATAAAATATAATCTTTTTAAAATTTGCAGATGACAGTAAGTTTTTAATTGCGAATGTTGTGATGAAGATGTGAAATGGCTCCACAGGATTTGGACAGGCTTAGTGAATGGGAAATAACGCAATATATAGAATAAAATGTGGAGAAATGTGAGGTTTACCACTTTGATTGGAGAAACAGACGTGCAGAATATTTCTTAAATGGTCAGAGGTTGTAAAGTGTAGATGTACAAATGGACTTGAGTGCCCTTATCGATAAATCACTTAAGGCTAACCTTCATGTGCAGCGAATTATTAGGAAGGCTAATAGAAATTAATTGCAAGAGATTTCATTACAGTGAAGTCTTGCTTCTTTAATAGCAGGCAGCACAACTTAAATGTAAGAGGGATATGTAGGTCCAAGATAAGGAGAAATTATTTTATTCGCCTGTGAACCTATGGTATTGCCTACCACAGAGGGCTGTTGAAGTTCAGTCTTTCAGTATGTTTAAGGTAGAGTTTGATAGATTTCTGATTATCAGTAGCACACAGGGTCATGGTGATGGAGTGACTAAAAGACTTTGAAGAGTTCAATCAGTCACAATTGTGTTAAATACAGGGCAAACTCAATGGGCTGAATGACCTACTGATCCTATGCAGTAAATGAAGCAATTATGCCTGGTTTCAGATTTTGCTGGAAAGCTGTAGTCCTTGTACCAAGGGTTTTTAAGCTGGTTGTATTTAAATTTCACTGAAGAAAAGTAGGTGATGTGGGTGGTGGTGGGTTTGGTGAGAAGAAGCAATGCTTTTAGGACAAGAGTTGCAGGAATTTGACTCTGTGCTACTAAAGGAATGGTGACCTACTTCCAAGTAGGGGGTAGTGCATGGCTTGAAATAATGTAGTTAAATTATTCTTTGCAGTATTTGATGTCTGGACACATGTATGTATCTCTTCCTACAGACAGGAAGCTTATGGATTGATTAGTATGCCTAGAGCTAGGTTAGGCTGTTGTACCTGCTAGAGTGATGTAGTTTTTATGGTCTGTTTTTTTTTTACCCATGGAGTTAATTTTAATATCATCTCTACCCAGGGAAAAAAAAAGGTACCTTTTTTAACATTTGATGTTTATTACTGGAATCTAAACACCAGTGTTAATATTTTGGCTGCAAAACACTTAAGGTGCATTCAACATAGACGACTGAATTTTTGGGGCTGTAGTTTATCTGCTCATACAGTAAATATTCTATTCTTGGTGGTGCATCATCTATATAAAAATCTTAGTTTGCCTGAGCCAGGCATAGTGGAATTGCATTATTTCTGGCTTTCAAGTGTCACATCAAGACTGCTTGACCTCTTCCTTTTTGAAGGGATTTCCTGAGTTTTCAGCAAAATCTGAACATCTACCACATTAGGATTGAACACCAATGTGAATTTCTTATTCACAATAATTATGCTGACTGGGTTGGAAGCTGAGAAATTCACTGTTTAAAACAGTGAGTAGTCAGCATTTCTAATGTTTTGATTAAGAATAGTTATGAAAATTCTATATTAATTTTGAATTTTAAGAGCTAGGTCTCCTTGCCTTGAGGCTGTTCTGTCTCTGTGGTACCATTTTATGTCCTTGGAAACATTTTTGTTGACTTTATCAAAGCAGCTGTAAACATATATGGCCTTTAAGCTTTTTGAGCACATACCAGATTTTATTGGATTTGCTGGTCATTTGATTTACAGGCTAATTGTCCACTTCCTTGAAATTATCTTTTAAATTAATCAACACCAGATTTCTTTCCAAATCTGTAAATGGCTGACGTTCTAATATTTGTAATGGGCTTTGACGTGAGTGAATCTAGAAGGTTGCTTATTGTTGATGGAATGTCATAAAACCACATTGCAGGCTGTTGGCTTCAAGTATTTAATTTGGTCTAGCTTGGAAATAAGGTTTGTTTGCAATAGTTTACTTTCGATGTATTATTAGAAATGGGAAAATCTTGGTGGATAATGAAGAAAGGAGCAACATACCATACATCTATGGTATAGGAGATGTCATTGATGGCAAGCCGGAACTCACACCCGTTGCTATTCAGGCTGGGAAGTTGCTAGCACGCAGACTCTACGCAGGTTCTACTATGAAGGTAAGGTGTGGACTTTATTAGATCATAAGAAATAGGAATAGGTATAGGCCATTCGGTCTCTTGAGTCTGTTACACCATCATTAAGATTGTGGCTACTGCATTTTCCTGCTTATGTCCCATTACTCTTGACTCTCTCTTGTAAGACGTACAAAATCTGCATGCTTTGTGTGGCTATCCCAGTGGCATTTTTTGGTAAAGCCAAATAAGCCAGAAGATCCTGAGAACACCTGACGGCATAGTGATCAGCCGTAAGGGTTCCTATTGAGTGGAAGAAGGTTGACAATTCATGGTTTTTGCTCCTGATCTGTTATCAGATGATCCTTGGCAGGAAGTACCCATGTTTGGACCTTAAGTGAAATGAAGTGCGTCAGGCTATGCTCACCAGCCTGATGACTCCCTGTTTTATCTGATAAAGAGTAGTGATAGTTGCAGCACCCAGAGTTGCAGTGGAACTGTAGCTTGAGTTACTGCCTATGGTAGATACTGAAAATTGTCAGAAGTATTTTTGTCATATCCTAGAATTTTAGCTGCTTTTATTTTGCATGATTATATGTTTATCAATTTGTATTTTCCTTTGTAATCAAGTTATAAACAAGTAGTGATATAACTTGAATATTGTAACATTCACCTTGAACTCATTAAATAGTGGCAAGTACTGTCAATATATTGATAGCAACTTGTTTTTCAGTGTGACTATGTCAATGTATGCACGACAGTCTTTACACCTTTGGAGTATGGATGTTGTGGATTGTCTGAAGAAAATGCAATAGCGCTTTATGGAGAAGAACATGTAGAGGTATGGACTTTTTTAGTGTTGAATTAAATGGAGACTTTTTTAAAATCGCAAGCTGAATGGAGTTATTGCTCTTGAAGTGTCAATTATTCATTTGTTTATTAAAAACTGATCATTGGCAGATTTGAATGCCGTTGACTGTTGTGTAAACTGTTTAATCATTGATGCTTGAACTTACTTGTGTGTTAATAGTTCTTTAGTATCTTCTTCAAATATGTAGCCTGGCTTACTTCCTACTTTGGCAACTCTCAATTTTTTGTGCCAGTGTTTAACATGGACTGTTTATCAAAGTGCTTGGTCACTGATCTCTCACTCGTGGGTTTTTGTCCGAAGCGTGAACAAAACTGACATGTCTTGTATACATAGTAAATGTCAGTTGCAGCTGGAGTACTAAAGCAACGTGGCATGCTGAGTTTGTTCAGAGCATGAAACTATCTGTCTTAGACCTCTCCATCCCACCCTGTCATTTTGTTTGAAACTATGAATATATGGATATAAAAATATCATGCAAGGACTGAGAAACATTACATAGGCCACACTGGAAGAAAATTGACAATAAGGATGCACGAACACCAACTAGCCACCAAGAGACCTGACCAATTCTCACTAGTCTCAATACGCGCGGACAAAGCAGGACACAAATTTGACTGGGACAGCACATACATAAGCCAAACAGATATGCCAGGGAATTTCTGGAGGCCTGGCATTCTAACGGAACTCCATCAACAAACACATTGAATTAGACCCTGTGTACAAACCACTGAAAAGCAGAACCAGAAGTATTGCCAACCATCCCAGCCAACCGAGGCATATAAATAACAAGCGGGACAGAACACCAACGCTTCACTGGAGACGCACTAACAATGTTACCTAGCAGGGTGACGAAACGTCTGCAATCAAACACACCGGCTCGGCGAGCAAATCTACCACCTCCTCCACAACCCGAGCTACAAATCTTCTCAAACTTTAAATTGTGGATCTAATCTGTTTGACCAAATTTGCTTTGGTTGATCAAATCCTGGGATTGGGGCATGTAGGTTAACTGAACAGTAGATTCCAATAGATCAGCTGTGAATATGATCAGTGCATATACTGTAATATGCCTTTGTACAAAGTCTCAAGTGTAAGTAAAAGCAAAATACTAGAGATTCTAAAAAACTGAAACAAACAGAATACTGGAGAAACGAGTCTGTCAGTGCCTGCTTAGAGAAACAGTTGAAGGTTCAAGTTGTGTGACTTCTTCTTCAGAAGAGGAGCCATAACTGAACTTGATGTTAACTCTGTTTCTCTCTTTGCAACTGTCTCAAGTTCAAATATTTTCTTTACATGATATGACACTAGCAACTTTTGCTGCTGTGACAATACGTTCTGAAGGGTTGTGCTAATGCTAGTGTACCTTTTAAATGTTTGTTTTAATTACTCTGATCTACTGTTAAGTTGAACATGGGTATTAGCAGAACATTAGTTATGGAGGTCTGTGTGAGAGAATCAGTGACATGATGATGGTCATTCATTTGGTCCCTATTTCTGAACTATGGATTGCCCAGTGATTCTAATTGAAAAGTAAATGTATGTAAGAAAATGAAAACTGAAAGCTAGTGGGTATTCAGTAGTTATGTTCCTGTTGGTTGAATAACCTAATAAGTCTTGTGGTTTACACTCCTATGAGGGATACTGTTTCAGGTGGGGTGGGAATGTTGCCTTAATGGTTGGAATTCCTGTATGGTGCTGACTTAAGTTTATTCTGTTGACCTCTGTGTGTTCTGACCTTTGTGCTCCAGTTACCAGGGTGAAGGTATTAATGTAACGCAAGTGGACCTACCTCCCACACACCAAAAAAAAGGCTGACAGCAATCATACATGAGGGTTATTGTGTGAAAAGGAGGCAAATATACGTTTTAAAAGTTTCTCCTGACAGCCCATTCAAACATATTGTGTACCTTAAAACATGCGTATATCTCCTGCTATGCTTGCAACCTGCACTCCTTAAAACGATAGTTAAATAGTCGACTATTGCTAAATTAAGTCTGTAACCCTGAAAATATAGGTGGGGATATTCTTGGCAATCTTGTATATTTGATAACACTTCTTCAGTACTGCATACTATCCTCTAATTTCCCCTATGGTGCTGAAGCATTTGTATGTCATACACTGCCTGTAGCTAAGGAGACAAGACCAGGACCTGATCTTTGACTATTTCTGTTAAATAGCTGCCTGTTCTGCAGTTGTGCTAGAACAGCTTTTGAAAATTTGGTGAAAGGACAAAGTAGTTAATTTACTTTATTAATTTCAGCTTCTCCAACCTGGTGTGGTTGAAATTACATGCAAATCTAAATGTTCTCATTCTGGCAAAGAAGGTTGCAGCTTGAGTAGTGGTCTAACCCAATACTTCAGTACCTACATGCAAGGACATGAATGCTGCAGAGCTTTCTGTAACTAAGTGCTCATTCATGTCCACAGGTTACAGTTTTTGGAGACACAAAAGAATTTGGGTGCGTCAAAAATCTGAGCCTTGAGGGTTTGGTTTAGTTTAGTTTGCTTTTGTTTTGGACAGTAGTTTTCTGAAGGGAGCCCAGAAAGATTGGATTAATTTCATAAGAGAAGTGTTGGGAATTGAGTATTTTGTGTTGTGTGTCAAAGGTAATCACTTTTCGAAAATGTGCAATCAAAATGGAGGATATTGCTTGGCACTGAGGGTTACGTAGCAGTGTGAAATTAGAGGTGTAAGCAGTGATTTTTGTGTTGAAGTGATTATGGAATAAAACCTAGTTCAGATTTAGGATATTTGCAGTTGTGCTCTGTTTGCCGCGGGGACTGAATTTAAGGCACTGTTGCTTTGGTCTTCATTATGTTTACCTGAAGGAAATTACAATTCATCCAAGATTGAATTTCACACGAGTAGTTTGCCAATACAGAACAGAAGATGGGAACAACCAAGAGCCACTGAACTGATGTGTTACCAATTTATGTGAAAGCTGACCTGTCTTTGGATAACACCAGGGGAGTATTTAATTGAAGTGAGTGCAAGGATTTATGCCAGAGATTTATAATAGCATGGGAAGAGGAAACCACAGATTGAAGTGCATTAGCCATGACAAGAAGAGGGGTCCCACCTCAATGGGACAATGGAAAAGTTGCATTGGAAGACCATGGATGGCAGAAAGGGCAGGGAGAGATTGTCCAACTTATAGGATCACTCTTTGCAATGATTGTGTAGTTTTTTTTTAAAAAGATAGAGGTGATAATGGTACCTTCAAAAAGGAGTTTTGGACAGAACCAGAGGGGGAGTTCATCTTCAACTGCCTGGGGACAAGGATCAATTTTTTGAAACAGCTGAGAGCATCTTATGTACAACTTGAGCTTGGAGAAGGCATGATTGGCAGTACCATAAAATAAATTAGAGGATAACTTGTAGAAGACAATTTTACTAGAAGTCCCTAACAGATTTGATTTTCAGTGATGATGGAGGTGTTAGAGTCAGCAGCAAGAGGTTGGAGTGTATGCTGAGTGTCAGAACTCATTGCTTTACCAGTGCTGAGCTGGAGGAAGCTGCTGTGTTAGGGTTTGAAGTGACTGTGTCCTGATAGGACGCATCGAGTGATGGAAGTAGTGAAGAGAGCATGTAGAAGCTGTCTTTGTAGATATGTTATCAAGGACGGTCAGAGTATTACAGTATTGTGGGTAAAGTTGCAACATGACTAAGCAAGTGTTGGTATATAAGATTGTATTTTCTCTGCTTTTGGCAGACCTTGTCATTGTTTACTTTTGCCACATCTTTCAATCTAGTGAGCAGCACCTTGGGCACTTCACTATTTAAATAAATGCCATGTTGAGTTTGTCCATGCTTCTTTATTCATTAATGGGATTTGGGCATTGCTGGCTAGGCAGCATTAATTGCCCAGCGGGCAGTTCAGAGTCAACCACATTGCTGTGGGTCTGGAGTCACATGTAGGCCAGACCAGGTGAGGATGGCAGTTTCCTTCCCTAAAGGACATTAGTGAACCAGATGGGTTTTTCCCGACAATCAACAATGGATTCATGGTCATCATTAGATTTTTAATTCCAGATATTTATTGAATCCAAATTCCACTATCTGTCATGGTACGATTTGAACCTGGGTCCCCAGAACATTATCTGGCTCTCTGGATTAACAGTCCAGCGATTTAATACCACTAGGCCATCGCCTCCCCCCATGCTGCTGGGTAACTACCCATATTTTTAAGAGTACTTTTAAAAGAAAGCTATTTCTGGAGTAATTGCTCTGAATTGGAAGTTTTAATTCAGGACGTTTTGTGCTGAATATCCATCTTGTACATTTCAGGTGTATCACAGCATGTTCTGGCCATTGGAATGGGCAGTACCAGGAAGGGATAAGAATGGCTGCTATGGCAAGGTGATCTGTGCGAAGCTGGATCATGTAAGTTTTTTTTTTTTTTTTTTGTTAGCCAAATATTTTCTCCTGAATTTATAGGAATGTTGCTGTATAACATTTACTTTAAGCACTTGAAGATACCTGAGAGAATGTTTACTCTTGTGGGAGAAACAAAGCTTAGAGACACTTATGAAATAAAGGGTTTCCTTTTAAAACTGAAGTTTTTATGTTCTCTGAGGATCACTTGTCTATTCGGTTCTCTACCCGGAGAGTAGGGTCACTGATTACATTAAAGGTTGGTTTGATCTACGAGGGAGTCAAGGATTTGGGAAAGTGGCGTTAAAGCTGCCATTAGCTCAGGTGTGATCTTACTGAATGGCAGAGCAGGTTTGAGGAGCCAAGGGCTTTACCATCTCCTGTTTCTTGGGTAATGGCATAAGAAACATTACAAATATAATCCCAGTTTTTTAAAAAAGCCTTTGATAAAGTTATTTGCGGCTCTGTTAAAATAGCTTTCCTTCTGATCTAGTATAGAGTGGTGGGATTTCATGTGCTTGGTCCGAATGCTGGGGAAATCACTCAAGGATTTGGCGCAGCAATGAAATGTGGCATGACCAAAGATCAGCTGAACAGTGTCATTGGCATACATCCAACCTGTGCGGAAGTAAGACTTCGTTTTTTTTTTTTTTTTTTTGTTTGTACCTTCTCATTCACTATCCTCTAACTCCCCTTTCTACTGTAAATCCTGGTAGCTATTGTGTTACAAAGAAAAATGTGTTGGAAGTACATGATCCCTTTGTGGCTTGCACTTCCTGGCTTGTTTTTCCTCCTTTAGTTTGTGGTTTTACAGGTGCTTGTACCTTCTTTAACTTGCTTCTTTGTCACTGGACTATTTGATCTTTGATCTTGGGAGAAGAAGCATCAACACAGTTTAGCTGTAACATCAGTTGACATTCATATGCTTCACTTTCTCCAATCGGAGTCTCTGGAGAGCTTTCAATTAGTCCACATTTCCAACTAAGTGGCACTGTGTCCAACTGTTCGCAGTGACTGCTCAGCACTAAATTAAGGGATGACCGTGTGACATTAGAGTTTATATTCAGCAGTGATTCATGGTGTCATTTGTCACCAAACCCTGAATGTATTGGTGATAAAATGTTTTTGTGAAAGATCAATGTGTTGGTGCATGTTTTAGGGATAATTTGATAGGGTTACTTTACTGGGAACAAAGACCTCCTAAGTGGAAATACTTTATATCTTGTAGTGACTTGATCCTAATTCCCCATGATGGATCATTAATCTTGTATAGTTAGTGATCTTCTCTCCTTCTCTCGCCCACCACCCCCCCCCCCCCCCTTCTTGCAGTTGTTAATTGCTTTTTTCACTTTTTTTTTGGTTGCAGGTGTTCACCTCCATGGAAATAACAAAACGCTCCGGTCTGGACATTTCCAAAAAAGGAGGTTGCTGAGGTTAAACCCTGCTGTTGGAATGCTGCTGCCCTCTATATGCACTTTTTAGCTTTGTGGTTGACTAAACGTGCAAAGTTTTAGTCTTTCTCCACTCAGGTAAAACAACCGTAAACCACAGCATGAATATATTTTTTTAAAAACAACAAAGCTGCCTTGAAGCAACACGGAATTGCGCAATGCTTTGAGTTTCACTCAGTGCCTGTTGCAGCGGAGAATCAGTGTGCATGGGGCATGCAGATCAACAGCGGGGGTAAACCTCAACTTCAAACTTTGACCCAAACGTGCTTGGAAGGGCATTAAGAAAATTAGTGCCTCCTTGAAGTTTTGACCCAGAACCTGATTTGAGGAGGGCCATGACTGATGACTAACGAGCAAGGTCTGGAACTTTGTCCAATAAGACGACTGCGCTTCCTTTTATTGGTGAGGCTTTAGTCTTGTGGAATAATTTGAAGTCTCATCTTGTAATATTTGCTGTACCTTGTTTCTTTTATGTATGTTGGGCTGCTGATGGAAGTGAGATGAATCTTTTTTTTCTCTGTATATTGTAGGTAAAGTAGCATCATTGTACTCAATGTTTGTAAGGTTTTAAAAAAATCAAGAACTTTTCTGTAAAGGAGCATGTCACATTTGATTCGTATTTAAATTCTGTACAATATCAATCGTAAGCCTTTTTCACCCAAAAAAACCGCACCGATTATGTTTCAGGAAGCATGGGCCTAGATCTTTTTCTGTTTGATGGAGGAACTGCCTATGTGTAACTGTCTGTCTGCACTTCGCTGTCCTCTCCCCTTATTTTCTAAACTTTATTCTATTAACTGAGTAAGCAACCACTACTGACCAAACTTGATACGGTGGGGCTGTTCTGTTTTTACAAAAGAAAATGAGTGAAAATTGGTGGACCTGTAAGCTTTTTTTTTTCCCCGCACATTAACTTGTAATCAAAATATATGTTGCTACATTGGGATTGGGAATTTGGGAAAATGTAATAATTTTAAACTTGTCCTGTACGCCTCTGGCCATCTGAATGAGAGCTGGACTGTCAGTCCAAAGATATTGAAAGTACTATTTTTAAAAGGAATTCTAGCGGGTAGAAAGTTTAGAGCATCACATATTTCTGTACTTTTATGTACCTGCTTAAGTTAAATTGAAATGGCATGTTTTTATACAGCATCACTTCCCTGTTGTTTTATTCCTCTGGTTCTTCTTTTTTTTTTTTTTTTTAAAAAAAATTTTGGAGCACTTAAGTTCAATTTGGATACACGTACTGTCACAATTTGTGCTTTTATGTTGTTTATTTGGAAGTAACCATGCAGTGCTTATTGTTTAAATGGGATTATTTTGCATCTGTTTTATAACTGTTTATCATTGCCCATCTGACTGGAACTTGTGGTCACATTTGATTGTATTCAGCCAGCCTCTGAGCAGCACTAACTTGAACAATTCCATTGTGAACAAAGTTTGTTATCCAAAATGCATTTAATAATAAAGAAAATCTGTAGAACTCAAAACAGTGTGCCTGAGATGGTCGTCTTTGCAGGCAGGCCCTTGGGATCAGGAATGATTTGACTAAGTATTCCAGTGCTGGATTTGCACGTCTTGCCATGCCGGGCAAGTGATGTTTGATGAGGTGGGTGGGATACCAGGTGTGCGCCTTCTGACGGTATCTGGGTGTGTTGGTCACGCTCAGTGGTCAACTTCTCTAGTTTGGGCAGCCTTACACAAGAGGTTCCCAAGAGTTGGTAGGATACTGATGTGTTTTTTTTTGCAGTGAAGCTTTGAGGACATCTTTGAAGTGTTTCCTCTGCCACCCTGACAACTGCATGCCTGATGAAACTGAGTGAGGGTGTTTGTTTTGTAAGTTTTGTTAGGCATCTGAGTGATGATGCCCACTCAGCATGTCTAATTGATCACAACCACTGCTTCAATGCTGGAAAATGTCATCTGAGAGGGCACTGATATTGAAGTGTCTGTCCTCTCATGGAATTTGCAGAGCAATCACTGTTGATGGGTATTGGATTGGAGGTATCTCCTGTACATTGTCATGTCCCTGCATATGGAGGGGCAAGGAGTATCCTTCTGTTCAGGCAAGAGATTTGGTTGGTATTGTGAAGGTGCAATATCTTGTGGCATTTGGGTGCTGCAGTTCAATTGAACATTGCTATACATAAGTGTATCTGGACAATCTTGCTACAGTTGTTGCAAATTTGTGACCTATTTTCTTCATGTAAAGTGGGTTTTGATATCTATAAAGGCAAAATGAGTGTAGACATTTACTGAGAGACTGATCGTGCAGCCTTCTGGACTCCATATTGAGTTTGGTAATTTTAGGGCCTGAGTACCTTCTCCTATGTCTTTACCCCAAACTCCAACGCACCAAGCCTTGTCATCACTTGGGCTGCTACCAGAAACAGTCCATTGTCAGCCACTAGTGGTCCCCATTACCAACTATTCATTCTCCCAGGCTGACCTTTACCCATTCCTTTGTCTGCCCAACTGCCATTCTCTCTCTCCGGGCTCCGTCTCCAACTATCATTTACTCCTTCTCCCTCCCCCACCCCTTCTCTCATATATATCATTTTCCAAGTCTGTTCTGAAGAAGGGTCACTAGACTTAAGACTTTAACACAGCTTTCTCTCCACAGATGCTGTAAGACCTGCTGAGGACTTTCCAGCAATTTTTGATTTTCTTTCTGACCCATTCTCTGCAAGTCCAAATTCAGCATTGATAAAATATTTGATATTCAAAAAATGCGAGGAAACTACCCAGAAACTTGTCTTCTGAGGCTTTCGTGCAGGAAATATAGTTGTTTGCAGGTCGCGCTCAGGCGAATGGCATTTTTCTCCCATCTGCGGTCAGTTTGAGGGTGTTGCGCCCGTAAGTTTTTGAGACCCAAGCTACAAATCTTCTCAAAAACCTTATACCTAGAAACCCTTCCAGCTCTTTTTTGTTTTTGTTGTGCGTACAATTGTAAAATGGCCCAGGCATCTTAGCTGCTGTTTTCCTCCATTTTTTAAAAAAATTCTCATCCTTGTAACATCTCTGACTCCCCTGAACACTCCAATCTTACACTCAGTGATTTGGCCTCCAAAGCCTTCTATGGCTGTGGTCAAGAAAGCACACTAACTCCTGTACTTCCTCAGAAGGCAAAGGAAATTTGGCATGTCTATAATGACTGTTGCCAATTTTTATAGGTGCACCATAGAAAGCATTCTATCCAGATGCATCATGGATTGGTATGGCAACTGCCCTGCACAAGACCATGAGAAATTAGAGTTATGAAGTCCATCTGCAAACCAGCCTTTCATCCATTGACTTAGTTTATACTTCCTGCTGTCTTGGAAAGCAATCAACATAATCAAATACCCCTCCCACCCCGGTTATACTCTTCCAACCCATTCTGTTGAGCAGAAAATGCAAGAGTTTGAAAACACAACAACAGATTCAAGAACAGCTTCTTCCCTGCTGTTATCAGACTTTTGAATGGACTTCTCGTATATTAGGGTTTATCCTTCTCTGCAACTTATCTGTAGCTGTAATACTATATTTTGCAACCTGTTCTATAACCCTGACATAGTTGTGTAAAGTATGATTTGCCTGGATAGCACACAAAACAATACTTTTCACTATTTCTCAGTATGTGACAATAATAAATCAAATCAATGAGTTCCACAGGTTCACTACTGTCTAGCTGAAGAAATTCCTCCTAATCTACATTCTAAAAGCTTGTTCCTGAGGCTGAGGCTGTGCCCTGTGGTCCTAGTTTGTGAGATCCCCAGTTCTTCCTAAACTCCTTTGAGTACTGACCCAGAATCCTCAATTGCTCCTCTTATGACAAGCTTTTCATTCCCAGGATCATTCTTGTAAACCTCGTCTGGACCTCTTCTAAAGCCTGCACACACCCTTACATATGTGGCCCCAAGCTGCTCTCGTTGTTCCAAATGCAGTCAAACCAGAGCCTTATGCAGTCCCCAGAAATGAATGCTAACATTTGCCTTCCTAAATGCCAACTGAACCTGCATGTTAAGAGTCCTGAACTCTGACTCCTAAGTCCCTTTTATTGTCGATATTTCTGAAGCCTTTCTCATTTAGAAAATAGTCAGTGCCTCTTGCTTCCTACTGAAGCGTGTAACTCCACATTTTCCCACATTGTATCAGAGTTCAGCCCATCCATCATTCAAATAAAAATGAAGGCTGTTTTTGGATTTTTCTTGTCAGGTTATCTGAGTGCAAGGAGATCTGGAACCCTGCAAAATTGAAAATGTAAACATTTCAGAACCCCCGTTTATAAAATTTACTTGTAACATTTATTTTAAACCAGAACATTTTTTCCTAAGAGCAATCACCTTAACCTCACCTGAGGCTTTATTGAGGAACATTCATCCCACAACAGGGACAATCCTGCTTAGGTCAACGTGGATGGTGACAGCAGTTATCAATGGTGAGTTGTAACACTGACTCCGACACCGACGGGAAACCCTGATATTACTGTTAACCCCGATGCTAACTCTTAACCCATCGACCCTAGCCACTAATCCTGAACCTTAATGCCTAACTCATAAAAGCTCCAGTACAAATTCCATTTTAAACTCTAAACCTCGATCAGCCCTCTGGCACTGTACCCCAACACCTGACCCAACCTATTGACATCCAACCACTGACCTTAACTCCAATATGAACATTATCCAAAACCTGTAATGCTAACTGTAAAGCTAAAGCTAATGCTAACCTCGCACTGACCTAACGATTAGCATCTTTCCACCTTCAGAGGATGATGGGAATTCAACTTCAGAATTTTGGAGAGGTCTGCTGACATAAGCCATTTTTGATATCTGATCAAACCGATTCTGGAAAAGCAAACTCTGCTACTGGGTGGTACTCGGAGTTATCCCTTGCTTGGGTGATCTCTGCTGACACTTTGGCAGGATAGGATTTGGAACCTCAGATCATGAGGTGGTGGCAGATTTAGCTCCACCACCATTGTGACATGCTTGATGATGCAGGCCACTTGTATTGTCAGTGGTCACTCCGAAAGGGAAGGACTAGGGTAAGGTCAATCTTCTTAGGTTGGGTTGAGAAGAGGCAAAACAGAGTGCTAAAGAAACTTAGCAGGTCTGGCAGGTTCTAGAGAGACAGCAATGTGGTTGACATTCTCGAGTCCAATATGACTGTTCCTCAAAATGGAGAATAATTCTGAAAGCGAGTCATACTGGACTTAATGTCAATGTTGTTCTCTAGCACATTTTTTTATTTCAGATCTCCAGTATTATGCATAAATAGATAGGAGGTTTGTTCAAGATTTTCGAAGTCAAGAGTGGTCTAGATGGAGAAACTTCCCCATTGATGGATTGAGAAGCAGAAGGCACTGATGGAAAATGAATGGCAAAAGGAGCAAAGGTGGCGTGGAGAATGGCTAGAATCTGGAATGCATTGCTTTAGCAGGTGGACCCAGATAAAATTATGATTTTCAAAAGAAGATTGGATACTTAGCTGATTAGAAATTTTCCCAGGGTAGCGGAGTCCAAAACTACAGGGCATAGGTTTAAAGTGAGAGGGCAAAGATTTAAAATGCCTGAGGTGCAACCTTTTCACACAGGCTGCTGTGTATATGGGATGAGCTGCCAGAGGAAGTGGTGGAGTGTGGTACGATTACAACATTTGAAAGGCATCTGGATTTAGAGAGATATGGGACTAGATTAATTTACGATATCTGGTCAGCATGGAGGAGTTGGACAAAAGGGTCTGTTTCCATGCTGTACATCTCTATGACTCTGAGTGGCAGTATGGGAAAGACGTGAAGTGGACTAACTGACTTGCACCTATAGAAAGCAGGCACAGACATGATGGGCAAAATGGCCTCCTTTTCTGCTGTAAATGTTCGTTTTGTACAGTGTCTTGAATGTGGGAAAACATCTCAAGGTGCATTATAAAACAACAAGTGAGCATTGAAACAGTGAAGTGCTGATTTGAGGGCTTGCAAGCTTGGTCAGAGAGTGGAGAGTTATAGAGATTTATAAGGAATTGAAGCTGAGGTCATTGATGTGTGAAGGCATAGCCATCAATGGTAGACCGAAGAAAATGGAGTTGGGGTGTGGGAATGGTTCACAAGAGGTGAACTTTAGAGATCTCCCATTTCGGTGGGAGGTGAGGATGTTAGAGAAGGACGAAAATTTTAAATCCGAGGTGCAGGGTGAGTTGATGGAGGGTCATTGTCTGATCAGCTTAGGAATGATCAAATCTAGGAAGGACAAGGCCAAAGATGAGGGTTTTAGCAGAAGATGGGCCAAGACTGAGCAGCAACGGTTATATATTGGATTTTGAATTAGTCATAGAGTAATACAGCATGGAAACAGGCCCTTCAACCCAAACTGATCCATGCTGACCATGGAAACAGGCCCTTCGGCCCAAACTGCTCTATGCTGACCATGGCACTCACTCAGCTAGTGTCAATTGCCCATATTTGGTCCATATGCCTCTAAACCTTTACCATCTAGGTACCTATCCAAATGTT